AGGTATGCTTGACCTGTGGTGAGCATGCAACCTCTCCTATTTGGGAAGAGTAAAAAAGGGTTGGGAAGAGTAAAAAAGGGTTGGGAAGAGTAAAAAAGGGTTGTGTGCTGGCTCGCTGGCCAGTTCGTTTACGTTCCCCCTTGAGAAGCAGCAGCTACCACCGATGGAGCTCTGGGTGAGAAGATGATGGCTTCCTGCTCATCTGCTGGGTTGCAAATACACCTGTTGCCTTCCCCCCCCTTGCAGGTAGACCGTTCCAGGGTCCGTCTTCTCAGGTGCAAGAAAATGGCTCAACCTTCGGGACGTTCTCCCCCCCCCCCTTGGTGTCTACTTTCTTGAGGTCCACGTTGTGTTGGACCGAGACGATCAAAGAGAGAAGCAACCTAGAACTAAGGAGAAACTTCCTGACAGTGAGGACAATTGACCAGTGGAACAGCTTGCCACCAGAAGTCGTGGGCAGTCCATCACTGGAGATTTTTAAGGCTAGCGAGGCAGTCACTTGTCTGAGATGGTGTAGGTTCTCCTGCTTGAGCAGGGGGCTGGACTAGAAGACCGCCAAGGTCCCTTCCAGCTCTGTTCTATTCTAATCTGAATGGAGGAGTGTCCCAAGTTCATCAGCCTCCCTGGTGACCTTGCTTTCGGCATCGGTGCCTCGCCATCGCTCACCCGTGGCTGTTCAAGGTGTGTCCAGCTCAACCTGTTGAGCAGGTGCCTTCAGGTGGCACGCCAAGAGCCAACATAACAGGGCAGCACTGCATTTCCTAGTAGGGCGGCAGAACCCGAACAAGGAACCGGGACAGGTTATTGGGTAGGGCCAACCTCTTGGAGGGTGTCACGTGGAAGGGAGCACATGGGGGGTCAGGGGTCTCCCACATTCTCCCGTAAGGTTAAAGCGCTGTTGGGGATTGGACATTTGAGTCGGGGTTCAGCAAATGGGGAGATCCCCCCCCCCCAGTTTAGGTGAAGCTAGTAGGGGCCTCGGTTTAGCGTGGGCTGGCATCCTGCATCTCTGGTGGTGGTAAAAAAATTTAAATAGATTTTTTTAAAAAAAGCAATATACAGGTAGTCCTCGAGTTACGTCGAAAATCGAGCCCAGAATTTACGTCGCCAAGTGGAACATTTGTTAAAGTTGAGTTTTGGCCCCATTTTACCAAGTTGTCGTTAAGTGAATCATTGCATTTGTTAGTCGCCCGGCTGTTAACACGAATCCAGCTTCCACCTGGACTTCGCTTGTCCAAAGGTCGCAAAAGGGATCACGTGACATCCCCCCAGGGGACACTGCAAAACCGTCATAAATGGGAGTCAGTTGCCTGGCATCTGGATTTTGATCACGTGATCATGTGGGATGCTGCAATGGTTGTAAGGGTGAAAAAGGGTCACGAGCCATTTGTTTTTCCAGTGCCGTCGTAGCTTCGAAGGGTCAGTAAATGAACCATTGTAAGTTGAGGCCTGCCTATATTGGGCCTCCATCTTCAGCATGATTGATTGCCTTCCTCTCCGTAAAGATGGGCCACATGCTCAGAGCATTTTTGCAGCATCTCTGCACAAAAGCTACTCCTTGCTCGCGTGTCTGGTGCTTTTTTGTGAGTTGTGTGCTTGGGGGGACATTGTTCACTTTTAAGGTTTCAGTTGTGCCCTGCCCTTGGTCCACGTTGTAAAAAGTTTGCCCTTCCCCTTTTTTTTTCACCTGGACACTAATCCGATTGGGCTGTCGCCCCCCAACACACGAGTCTTTTCCAACTTGTACTGCAACCGTCGAAACTTGGAACCAGAAGCCAGGATAGCATTCTTTGCTTGTTACTTCAGGACGCAGTCCGGGAAGTGTGCATTTGGGGGGTGTACGTTGTGTGTGTGTGTGTGCGTGTGTGTGTGTGTGTGTCAGAGCATGCACAGTCTTATTGCGCGAGATAACCCAGGAGTAAACACAGTAAACAGTGGTCTATAGTAAATGTTGGTTTATCTTACACTATCTACAATATCATACACCAGGAACAATATACGTACACGTGCTAATACAGCAGGGTCCAACACGTAGCAGTTACACCAGGAAAGAGAAGGGAGAACATAGCAACAGAGCCTTCCCTTTATACAAAGGTTCTTAAACAGAGACAGACCCTGCTGGCTCTTAAAGGGACACAGACCCTGCTGGCTCTTAAAGGGACACAGACCCTGCTGGCTCTTAAAGAGACACAGACCCTGCTGGCTCTTAGAGACACAGAACCTGCTGGCTCCTAAACAGACACAGACCCTGCTGCCTCTTAAAGGGACACAGACGCTGCTGGCTCTTAAAGAGACACAGACACTGCTGAGCCATTCCCATCATTACATCTTACATTACATAAGCTGGTTAGCTGTTAAATCAATACCTTGACAGTGTGTGTTCCTGTGGGCTCGGTTTTAGGGTGCTGGCCCACTCGGTTCAAACTCGATTGCAGCTTTGGTGGGCGTCAGCTCTTAACTGGATTTTGTTTAGTCCCGGAATGAAATGTCACTTTGTCGGCCAGGGACCGACAACTTAGTGCCCATCAAATAGACAAATAGTTCTCGACTTAACAGCAGTTCATTTAGTGACCATTCAAACTCACTGAATAAAGTGATTGAATGACCATTTTTCACAGGTAACAACCTTTGCGGCATTCCTCCCCCACCCCCGTGGTCGTGTGATCAAAATTCAGAGGTGTGGCTTGTGTGCATGTGCGTACGTGTGTGTGTGTGTGGTGTGGCACTTTAGGTCAAACCAAAAATGGAGGGTAGGCCTTTTTTCCCCCTTCCTTCCTTCTGAGAATGGTTGCGGATGCTTGTTGTGTCTTGCGTGTGTGTTTCAGAGTGTGGCGGGGAAGCGGTTTAAGCCAAATTTGCACACCCAGCACGGCTCCCTCAAAAGCCCCAGGCTTGGCTCCCCCCCTTTTTTTCTCCGCTTCTTCACCCCTTCGGTCCTGTTTGAAAGGGTGTAGGCTGGTTATAAACGGGTCCGGTTTTTTTCTGTGCACAGAGTTCGAATTCTACCAAGTTTGACTTGGTTTATCCCAAGGGCATCCAACCTCGGCCACTTTAAGGCCCGTGGAATTCTGGGAGTTGAAGTTCACAGGGCTTAAAGTGGCCGAGGTTAGACACCCCTGGTTTACCCCCATCTGGAATCTGTCTGTTTCACGCGCTGCGTGGAGGGGTCGTGTGAAGGGATGGGAAACACCCTTTGCAAGGTTGTGTGTATGCGGCCAGCGCCCGCTTCCTTTAACAAATGCGTGGACTGAACCTCTGTCTCACAAGGGCTGTTGGGGGCCTGTCCTGAGTTCCTGGCTTTTTTCTCTTGATCCCCCCCCCTCAAAATGCACCTAATTAGCCAGGCGTGGCTTTGGGGGGGCTGTGAGAAACTCAATTTCACCTCCATTCTCTCTCTCTCTCTCTCTCTCTCTCTCTCTCTCTCTCTCTCTATCTATCTATCTATCTATCTATCTATCTACCTATTTCTATCATATCTATCTACCCATCTACCTATCTCTCTCTCTCTGTCATCTGTCTGTCTGTCTGTCTGTCTGTCTGTCTGTCTGTCTGTCTGTCTGTCTATCTATCTATCTATCTATCTATCTATCTATCTATCTATCTATCTATCTACCTATATCTATCATATCTATCTACCCATCTACCTATCTCTCTCTCATCTATCTATCTATCTATCTATCTATCTATCTATCTATCTATCTATCTATCTATCTATCTATCTATCTATCTATCTACCCCCCCTCCCTCCCCCCCCTCTCTTAGCACTAAGTCTGCCCTTTGGGTCCAACGCTTTTGAGATCCAGGGTTTGGGTCTCTCGCTTGCGACTTCCGTGGTTTTGGGGGTGCTCCCATCTCTCCTGACACCCCCTTAAGGTGCACCTTTCTTTGGGCTTTTTAAGCGCGTCCAGCTTTTCCTCGCCCGGGTGGTGGGCCACAGGCTTATTTCTAGCTACTCCGGAGCATGCAACCAGCTGCGCAAACTCAAGCCACCATTCGTTGCAAATAATGCCATGTGAGGTTTGGCTGCTTGCAACCATCTCATTCCCTAGGGGGAGGGGGGGGGAGAACAGGCGTGCTTGGTTTGGTACAAAATTGGGGAGGGGCGAAGAGGGCATCAGGATTGGGGAACGAAGGGACTCCTGGCTTGGAGAGATGCAGGGAAATTGCTTCTTGCACCCTCTGCATTTCCCCCCCCCTCCGAGCTGCAGAAACACGTGGTGCAAAAATGGAGTTGGGGGGGACGACAAGGCAGGAGGCCTGGTTTTCAATGCAGGACCCCAGTAGAAACACTACAGCAGTGTTTCTCAACCTTGACAACTTTAGGGCATGTGGACTTCAACTCCCAGAATTCCACAGCCAGCCAGCAAGGTTGAGAAACACTGCACAGCCTCGCCTGGGGTTGGGATTTGGGGTGTTTTATCACCCCCCCCACACACACACCAAAGGTTGAATCTTATGTCCACCTGGACCCACGTGTGGGGCAAGCGTGCCAGAACTGCAGCTCTGCAGGGTGTTTCCTTGAACCCAGGACTGGGAGGGGGGAGGCAAAGTTGCCCCTTTTTCTTCTTCTTCCCTCCTTCGTTCGGAATTCTCCTCCCCGATAGCGCTCCAGTGCTTAACACATACACCCGCCCTGTTTTTATATATATTTTAATGAAGAAACAAAATAAAATCCACTGGGCAGAGAGGGGTGTAGAACCAATAAATTAAAAGAGAGATGCTACGTAATGTAAAATTGACGATGAAAAAAAATAAGTTTCCATGGTTTGGTGGGTGTGTTGTTGTTTTTCTCTTCCTGGTCGGTTTCTTCTCCTTTCCTCAACGTGCATCCTCTGAAGCTGCGTTTCTCAACCCACAAGCAACGGGGTTTTTGAGATTTAAATCCATAAATCCATAATACACTCCGGTCTAAAGAGAGGACGAATGTCTTCGCAGATTCTCCGTCATCCGAGTCACGGTTGTCCCAAAAGTGCTTTTCCAAAAGGCAACTGGACTTTCCTAGTGCAGGCCAGAATGCAGTTGCAGAATGAAGCTGCTCCTTTGGCTGCAGAAGTAGTGGACCTGCTGGGCGGGGGTTGTTGGTGCTGGAGAGAAGGGTGAATGTGCCAAGCAGAAAGAACTTCAGCGTTCGGCGGCGGCGTTCGGCGGCGGTGGCGGCGGCGAGAAATGCGAGAAACGGGCGGTGCGACCCCGCCCGTCCAGCGTTGGCCTGCGGCTGGCCTCCTTCAACCCCGCCGGGGCCGGACCTCACCAGGCGGGCGCAGGCCGGGTCAGGCCTTGGGGCCTGCTGGGCTTGCGGCGCCGCCGGCGCCGGGAGGAGCACCGGTTTCGGGATGGCCGTGACGGAGTCTCTTTTGCAATCTGGCTGGCCTTCCATTTTGCTTGTGGGACCGGCTGTTTTTGCGCTCCGCTTGTGGATGAAGCAATCGCGGTCCTGGAGGGGGGCCAGGGGGGCCACTTCGCGGCTTCAAGAGAAAGACGGCTGTTTAGCTGGAATCAGTCGCTCCGGCCACCATCTTTACCATCTTTATCATCAACCCATGTTCTTCCACTTTGGATATATTGTTCTGTTTGGGCTCTCCCTATTCTGACTATCCAGGAAGCATATATGGGCTTATACCATTATATGCTGGCTTAAGGGACTGTGGCCAATGCCTATTGATTTTGCTTAACTTTTAATCATGCGAATACGTTACCTGGCGACTGACCTCTATGCTTTGCGAGAGTCCCCGCTCGCGCAGCTTTGGCCCTCAAAGTTAACGAGGGCCCACCTTGAGGAGGGGTTTTTAAACCAAGAGAGGTGGCAAAAACGGAGGCTAAGGGGATTTTTAGTTAGGTTTTTAATTCGGATCTTAAGGGGTCCCAGGGAGGGGGTGGGACGGTGGACGAGGTAAATTGCCCACCGGGGGATTTTTTTCAGACCGACCAAAGGCCAAGGCGATGGGGCTATGGTTCCCGGGATTGGGGGAGGGGAGCATTTGACGGAGGGTAGTACCATCACGACTGTGGTTGGGAGAGGCAGATATGGCAGGGGCACAGGGCCGTATCAAATATTGGGAGCACGCCCCCGCTGTGTGCAAGCTGTGGCGTGCTCCGGCCCTCATAGCCCCACCTGCGTCCCTGGAGGTCTGGGAATTCAGGGCCTGGGCTTCCGACTGATGTTGTGTAATGCCAGGTCCGTGATGAACAAGGCCCCCCTTATTGCTGACTTGGTCTCGGAGGGGGACTCGGACCTGGCGGGTATTACGGAGACCTGGCTGGGTCAAGAAGGGGGGTGCCCCTCGTTGAAATGTGCCCGCCAGGTTACCGTGCATTCCATCAGTCGAGAGCCCAGGGTAGGGGTGGGGGGGTGGCGGTTATTATTAGGGAGGTCCTGGACCCGAGGGAGACCACTGTGCCGCAGACTGTCAGCTGTGAGTCCTTGGGTGTGAAGTGGGGTCATGGGAGGCAGTGGGGCATGCTGATAGTGTACCTGGCTCCCCGCCACGTGTCGGCAGCCCTACCCGAGCTTCTCGGGGTGATCGCCGAGATGGCGGTTGGGACCCCTAAGCTGTTGGTTATGGGGGATTTCAACCTGCCGTCGGTAGGCGAGACGTCTGAGGTGGCTCGGG